ACGGGTTTGGAACGACATGGGGGTAAGTGATTAATGACAAAATTTTCATTTTGGAGTGGAGTAACCCTTTAATTGATATTTAAAATAGCACTATAAAATTAAAATAAAATATGATAAAAAGAAAATTATAAATATTATATATAATAAAAAAAATACATGTATTATTATTATTATTATTTAAAAATAGCAGCAAAACTAAGTCAGCCGCTGGACTCACTGTCTTCTTCGGTTCTCTGCTCCACGGCGAGGGTCCGGACCTTGACCTTCTCCGGCGGGGCGAGGGGTCGTCGAGGGGTCATGAGGCTGACGGCGGCGGTGCTCAGGAAGCGGTTGGCTCTGCCCAGCGTCGGGGAGCTCAACCAGCTGGGACGGGCCAAAGCGCCACCCATGGCCACAGCGCCAGACGGTCTCTGCCGTTCCCAAACACACAACAGCATTCATCTTCAGCCGCAGGACATTCAGCATAACGTCCTCACCAACAAAACTAGACTAGCTGCACTAAACAAAGCGCTCGACACCGGACGTCTCAAAGAGATTCAGCTACAGCCAAAATCCAGGTCACTTCTAATGGAACTAAATGGGGCCACGAAATGTAAGTAAAAGGGGACGTGTTTTGGAGAATGTAAAAGAAATGTGAAGCTTGTAAATTTACAAAGGCACTTTTCTGTTACAGTTTGTCTTATTTGAGCTAGAAAGTTGTTCTCGTCAGTTTTTAAGGGTCACTTCAGGGTTTTAGGCATTACGTTGCCATGGCAACAAGGTAAAACTAAATAAAGTTACACAAAAACTATAAAAAATATATAAAAATAACAGTAATACAATAAAAAGCATATAATAAAATATACAATTATAGTAGTTTGCAGTATATTATTATTTGATTTCAATATAAATAATATAAATCAATGTTTTAATATTAATACTAATAGTTATATTGTACAGTATGTATGTGTGTGTGCGTGTGTGTGTGTGCGTGTGTTTGTGTGTGTTTGCATAAAAATTTCAATACACATATGTAAATGAAGTGAAATAATGAATTATAATTAATTACATTTAAAATAATACATTATTTTATAATGTAAATTACAAAAGAAATAGTTTAATTATTCATGTGATTTATATGTATGAATATTTGTATTTAATTTACCTTTACAATAAATAAATAAATAAAATGTAACATTTTTATAACATATTACATACATACACTGGTCAACTGTTGTTGTGTTTAGTTGTGCTATAGAAATATATATGGTATTATAAAAATATAACATTCAAAGTATTAATATATATTTTAAAATTATATAAGATAATGATCCTATATTATATTGTATACAAAATACGATATTATATAATGATCCTATGTAAGATTATGATACTATATTATAATTATATAAAAATAAAAAGAGCCTAAAAATGTTAAGCAGCACAAATGTTTCCAATATTTATAATAAATCAGCATATTAGAATGATTTCTGAAGGATCATGTGTCACTGAAGACTGGAGTAATGATGCTGAAAATTCAGCATTAAATTACATTTTAATATATATTCAAATAGAGAACATTTATTTTAAATTGTAATATTTCACATTTCTGTATTTTTGATCAAATAAATGCAGTTTTTATTTAAAGAAAAACATTAGCCTTATTAAAAAGGACTATTATTTATAAGTTTTTTTTTTTTTTTTCTTCTGGGGCCTGAAATGGAGGAATTTTGGTCAATATTGATAATTAAACATTATTTTGCTGAATGTGTTTTTGTGCTGGCACCTTAGGCTGGTTTAGGTCTGTCATGGATAGATAAATAAATAAGACAATAAAACTGCCAGTAGGTTGCAGCAAGTCCCTGTTTTAATAAATGATTTAGTGAATCATTCAAGTCAAACGATTCGTTCAAAACGGCTGATTTAGTCAGAAACTAAACAAGTGAGTCTATCTGAATGGACAGTTGAATCACTGGCTCAGTCGATTCGTTCAAAAACAGATTCATTCAAGGAACAGAACACTGTGTTGCCCTGCACTGTTGTATAAAACTAATAGCACATTTGTGCTAGCGCACATGTGATGATCAGGTGCTGATATTCAGAAAAGAACGTTGCTTGTGCAATGAATATAAAACAAAAACTCATACATGGATATTTTTTGTTTCATTGCTGGAATTATAAGGGCATTCTAACTCCATTCTAATAGGCTTCATCGCGCAGTGAATGCTTTTGGACTCTCAAGAAGGGATAGTTTTTTTGTTTTGTTTTTTTGAAAAGTCGGATATTGTCTGCTCTCCTATTGTCTCTCAGTCCTTCACAGTCAGACAGCACAATAACGTTATATCAGGGGAATGCCTTTAAATTCTAATCAAGGAAAAATCATACCTTCTGTTGTCTTCTTTTTAAAGAACTTCAAAAATTGCGCTTGAACCGGTTTTGCGCGAAAAATGACGAAAACTTGCTTCCAGCTTGTGTGCAGCTTGTTACAGTAACGAGTTCGAATTGGCTAATCGCCGTTATTTAGTTGGTGAATTATCATAAGTAGAGAATTTTAACATTTTATGTGCATGATAAATTCTACGTAATACACAATTAATAATCCAAAGGGGATGGTAAGGGGGGACGGAGGTTTTACAGAGTGACATGCTTTTTGTCATTTTTTTCGACCAGGGGGATGCCATCCCCCCGCAATGCGAGCCCTGGAAACAAGCGTATACAAACACAATTGTCGAAGATGCCTTTCATTTTAATCACAATGGGTGAATAGTACCAGGCTGATTCATAACTTACGTACCATCCGCTCTGTATAATACAACAGATTATGTGAGCCTCAAATCATAATACATCGAAAATTGTATGTCAAACGTCAGATTTATTTGACTATTTTGACACTTTTATTGATAACTATAATATGGGGAAATGGGATCATTGTGTTTTCATGGTGTACAAGCAGCGAGGCCCCTTCTCAAGTTTCTGGAGGAATTTATGAAGTGGAAAGTTATTTCATGAACCACATATGTAGTGTGGAGGTGAAACTAACTAAAATTAGCAATGCTACAAACTTAGTGATGTGTGACACTTTTGGGACATTAATGGAATAGTTCACCCAAAAATGAAAATTTCCTGAAAATTTCCTCAACCTCAGGTCATTCAAGACTTAGATGAGTTTCTTTATCAGAAGCTTTAAAATTTAAATGTAAAAATTTAAAATTTAAAGCTTATTCATTTTAAAATGTAAATGTTGCTATTCATTAAACAATTCTATGCTATGTTTAATGTTAATTATTCTGTTCAAGCGTCATGCTGTCTGACACCTAAATTCAGATCCTCATGTTTTTTGGGCCATATACAAATTTGAACTTCACCACAGAACTTGCAGCCAATCCAGGCAAACTCCTGTCAAATACCTCAGACAAACAAAATCATCTAACGCAAACCACAAAAGAACATATTACATCAAAGGCACAACTCTCAACCACTTCCTTCATCCTCCTTCCCTCTCTCTCACTCTATCTTAGCGTGTTCCCTGCTGTTCGTCAATATTTTTGCGGCATGTACCGCTGCCTTGAGGGAAATCAATATCCATCTGCATCCCAGTCTTTCTGAACGCCGCCAGCATCCGTCTTTTCCCATCATTTCAGAAATTTTAATGATGCCACAAATCACAGTAACGACCACCAATGTTTTTGAGGTTAATAATGAAGTCGGAAACCAAAAAAAAAAGAGAAAATAAAAAGAAAACACCCTGCAGGAAGTGTACAATGTATTCGGTCTCAATTTAAAACTAATTTGGGGGGTTGATCCATCTAAACCATTCGTCTGGCAGCTTTGAAAAGATCAATAGTGAAATTGCAAGAGTTACCAAACAAAACGAACATAACAGGCACATCAATATGAGATTGCACGTCTCTGTTTACGTCTAGGAAGATTAAAAACCGTTACGTCTGAAAGCATTAAAGCGAGCTTCTGAAAACAAACAAAATTAAAAAGTAAAACAAAAGTACTTTTGTTGTTGCCACACCTCATACAGAAAAGCTTTATTTCTTGTCTTCAGAGGTTTTAACCGACTGGATTGTATCTGCTGTCAGTGCGAGTAACACTCAAAACAAATTGACCTTCTGCTCCCTCTGGTGGTGTCTAGAGCAGCTGCATGCTGGGTAATTATTTGACCAACCTCTGAAACACACTTTACATGTGTTTTTTACCAACCTTTGAGCGTTTTCTTCAGATGCGAGAGAAGTCCTCCTAAACGCTGCAGGTCAAAGTAATCCACCTTCCCGTTGTAGAAGAGCTGAGGGGGGACGTACGCGTCTGACGGGAACACAAATGGGGTCAATGACATGACATTCAATTATAAGTTCAGTGCCTTAACTTTATGTTAGCAGCCAATGCAACATTTTCATTTACTTCAGGTTTTTTATTTGTATATTTTATTTTGTATTTATTTGTATTTATAAAATACAAAAGAAATAAAGAAATAAAGAATTATAATAAAGAAATAAGCATAGTTATTTTAGTATTATTTATATATTGTTTGGGTTTTATAAATATTTTGAATTAGCTTTTATTTTCATTTTTAATTAAATTTTTTGTCATTTTGAATGACTTGAATTATATTTTTTGGATTACATATTTTATTTTTTAATAATGTTTTTAAATATAACCATGTAGGTTTCATTTATTTTTATTTGAGTTTTAGTTGCTGCAACTTAAAATTGTTATTTTAATTTTAGTGCTTCAACTCATTCAGTTATTTGCCGAGGCAAGATTTTTAGTTTTCGCTGGAAGTTTGTCATGTAATATTTTCTTATATATATATATATATATATAAGCTTTATTTCAACTACCAAAAATATTTTTAATAGTTCAAGTTATTTAACAATATGAAGGGTTCATTTGCAAAAACTGATAAACGCCACTTTAAAAAAAATGAGCTGATTGCCGTGCATTATTATACACACATACATACATACTTTTTTTTTTCTTTTCATTTTTATTGAAAAAAAATATAATTTATATCAATGAGAAATGTGTACCTTCACTGCTGATGGATCCTGGGCTTTTTCTCTTGCCTTCATCCCAGTAGCTCCTGATGGCCGTGATGAGCCGGTGTATGAAACACACCATGTATTCAGGAGGACACAACACTGTGGGGTTCTGAACACACAAACAACATCACATCAATTGAAGCATGAGACAAACATCAAACCCTCCAATAAAAGCCTGATCACTGCAAATTAACTGAAACAATCCTATCAATAACAATCCCGTTACAGAAAATGGCCATATTCATTTACTTCTGTGAAGTTTAAGCAGGGAACATCAGATTCAGTGCCAAAAAGCATGCACTGAGAATTATAAAATCCTCAAGCTTCTTTTGTCTTTATTGTTACATCCTTTATGTCAGCACAATTTGCCAATTTATATGATACTGGAACTAATAAAAACAAAACAAAGCAGATGTACCAGTCATCAAAACACATTAAGTAACATATTTCTGAAATGTCCTGTTTGCAGCATTGATTGGAAGACCTTCTGTGGCAGGAGCTCTTTAAATCGTACCAAATGCTGTGTGGCGGGTTTGTAGCTTTTACTTTTGCTTTTGCAGAAATAGACTGTGATCTTATGATCTATTCATCACATGTAAAGGAATATCCAATCCAGATAAAGAATATCTAGATACTATGCAGATATGGAACATATATGGTATGAAGGAGGCCAAAGCTGTCCTGTGTGTCCTACCCCTCTATTGCTGGCGTTCTCTTGAAGGAACTTGCGGAATTTGTTCAGGAAAATGTATCGAGAAGCTTCGCCCTGTGAAAAAAAGAGACACAGGTAATTACGGCACACAGGTTGGATCAGAAGCATTCACAACTTGTAACTGAATATTAATCTTTCTCTAGATGGCAATCGTTTGTCGAGTCTCAGGCAAAGGGATAGTTCACCCAAAAATAAAAATTATGTCATTAATTACCTTTGTTCATCTTCGGAACACAAAGATAAAATAAATAATAAAATTTATTATAATTAAAATAATAAAATTTGATAAAATCTGAGACCTTTCTGACCCTCCATAGACAGCAAGGATATTACCACGATCAACGCACAGAAACGTAGCAAAGGACATCGTTAAAATAGTCCATGTGACATCAGGGGTTCAACCGTAAGTTTACAAAGCAGAGAGAATACTTTTTGTGCGCAAAGAAAACAATAATAACATAATTTATTCAGCAATTCTTCTCCCAGAGTTACCGTCTTCCCCCATTTTGGAGAGTACCCCAGAACGTAATCAATTTAATCAGTGTTGTTTACATTCAGCGAAAAATCTGTGTTCCAAAGTCTTAGGGGTTTGGAACAACATGAGGGTGAGTAATTAATGACAGAATTTTCATTTTTGGGTGAACTATACCTTTAAATTATGTTCTGATGATCACACAAAACCATTATATGGCTTTTGAAGACATAAGCTGTAGTACTAGTTATATAGGCTATTTTTATGGTGAACTCCCAAATATAATAAACTAAAATTTTAAAAGAAGGTCTCACTAAATAAAAAAATAAAATAAATTTAAAGGGCAAAACATTTTTGCTAAATTTAAAAATAAATTTAGCAAAATTTGATGTTGCTAAAAAGAACATTATTTTGTGTATTTGGTGTAATGAAATGTGTTTATGCGGTTTAAGGTTAAAAAAACATTATTTTCCACATACTGTACATTATTGTTTCTCCTCTATGCCCCGCCTTTCTGAAACGCGTCGATTTTTACAAAGCTCATCAGTCTGAAAAGCGAGGTGTGCTCTGATTGACCAAGCCAACCACCTAATAAATAATATGTGTCAGTACTGGGTCAATAGTATGTAACAAGCATTACTTTTATTTGTATCAATACTACAGCGAGAATAAAAGTTACGCTTTCTTTCTTTGCGTGAACATTGTGGGCGCGTTATGCAAATCTTCCCACATCGTGATGTAGCCATGTGGGGTCATGCGTGTTAGAACGAGCCGTTTTAGGTAGGCGTGGTTGACTCTTAACTTTTATAAAGAATGTCTCTTTGGATTTGAGACTTTAGTCTTTGCAACTTTACAGATCTTCTTTATGCACCAAGAGCTTGTAACACTCCAAAGAGAAAGGACAAATTTAAATCGCATCATATGACCCCTTTAAATAAAAAAAATTAAAAACGTATTTGGGCTAAACAACATCTTAGTTGAATTGTAAAAATATCCCCCCAAAAAAGGTTTATGTTAGGGTACTAGATATTATGAAGAAAATTAATATAATAGTAATAATTATTATATAAACCAGATTAATTTAATAACTAGTATTTATATTTTTGTGGTTTCATCCAATTTCAGTGTTAAATACTTTTATAATTCTTAATATCTTGAATAAGCATTTATTTTATATTTTGTTTTCATTTTAGCTTGTGCTTTTGTGATTTTTTATAAGATTTAGTTTTTTCTAATTATTTTTATGAATATTTCTGAATATTTTCTATTTCTGTTATATCTTTTTTTCTGAATATTTCTATTTAGCTATATTTTTTATTTCAGTTTTAGTTTCAGTAATTATAGTACTTCAACTTACATTTATTTTAAGTTAGTTTCCAAAGGCACTAGTTTCTAAGGTCTTAAATGTAATTTTTTCCTCTAATATTTATTTATTTATTTTATTTAATTTTAGCTTTATTTCAATTTATCAAAATTATTTTTAATAGTTTTAGTTCACAATAACAACACTGTCCCATTTAGATTTTTTTTTACACAAAAAAAACTGTTTGACACTTTTCATGTAGGTCAGACTGGGTCTTCCTGTCTAAATGGGCCATTCTCTGACATTCCCATATTATACATTTTATAAATATAATAAAACACAACTGTGCGAGCAGACGTGTGCAAAACAAGCATCAACATACCGTCCCCTTGTCTTTATTGTTCAGCATTAACCTCAGGATCTGAACCTGCAGCTCCTCCACAACTACACACACACACGGGTTCAGCTGAGTGTCACAGTGACAGATATGCTTGCAGATCTGATGTTGTGTGTGTGACATACCCTCAATCCTCTTTTTCAGTCTGTGACAGCCGCGCTCGTACGCTCGCCGTCTCAGCCTCTCCTCGGGCGTCTCCTCGCGTGTGTCCCTCTCATCTTTGCCCTGGACACGCGTCAGGAGAGACAGCGGAGAATTATTCATCTGTCGCTCAGTTCAGATTAGTGTTTGCCTGACGAGATCATTTCAGGTTACAGCTTTTGTGAAGCCTGTGTATATAATGCTATTCATATTCATACTCATGTGTCCGGATGTTTCTAACCTCTTTGTCAAAGCGTGTGGGCCACCAGGTGGTGATCTGAACCTGCAGCTCCTCCACAACTACACACACACACACGGGTTCAGCTGAGTGTCACAGTGACAGATATCTGATGTGGCAGATCTGATGTTGTGTGTGTGACATACCCTCAATCCTCTTTTTCAGTCTGTGACAGCCGCGCTCGTACGCTCGCCGTCTCAGCCTCTCCTCGGCCGTCTCCTCGCGTGTGTCCCTCTCATCTTTGCCCTGGACACGCGTCAGGAGAGACAGCGGAGAATTATTCATCTGTCGCTCAGTTCAGATTAGTGTTTGCCTGACGAGATCATTTCAGGTTACAGCTTTTGTGAAGCCTGTGTATATAATGCTATTCATATTCATACTCATGTGTCCGGATGTTTCTAACCTCTTTGTCGAAGCGTGTGGGCCACCAGGTGGTCGGGATGAGCTCCTCCAGCCCTGCCTCCTTCACTCTCAGAGGGGTCTTGATGTAGAAGAAGACCACAGATCGGAGCACGTCAAACGTGATGCTGTTAAGGAACGAAACCCATACAAATCCACAAGCTAAATGCTTCTAACATGTCTGTTTAGGCAGTTCTTCCTTACAGCCAGAGAAAACTACTGGAAAGTTAAATTGAATGCTTGTACTATGACCAAACTTTGGCTTCTAGTTCTAGTAGTAAACAACTGTTGTATATATGTTGTGCAAAACTTTTATGTATATATATATTTTTTTTAATTGTGTACAGAGTTTACATATTTTGTAATAAATCCATAAACATATCTAACTACTTATATGCCCATAATGTAAATACTTACCTAAATATCCACATACCCAGCTACTAAATATCCACCTATTTACATCTTTTCATAAATCTAGCTACATAAATATTGATACAACCACCTCAATCTCAACATCACATATCTATCTATCAATCTATCTATCAACATATCTATCCAACTACCTAAATATATAGCATAATCTATTGACCTACATACCTACCACCATATCTATCCATCTACCTAAATATATACCATAATCTATTGACCTATCTACCTACCTAGCAACATATCTATCCATCTACCTAAATATATACCATAATCTATTGACCTATCTACCTACCTAGCAACATATCTATCCATCTACCTAAATATATACCATAATCTATTGACCTATCTACCTACCTAGCAACATATCTATCCAACTACCTAAATATATACCATAATCTATTGACCTACCTACCTAGCAACATATCTATATAAATATATACCATAATGTACTGACCTATCTACCTACCAGCAAACATATCTATCCATCTACCTAAATATATACCATAATCTATTGACCTACCTACCTATCAACATATCTAACCATCTACCTAAATATATACCATAATCTATTGACCTACCTACGAGTCATCATATCGATCCATCTCCCTAAATATATACCATAATCTATTGACCTACCTACCTGTCAACATTTCTATCCATCTACCTAAATATATACCATAATCTATTGACCTATCTACCTACCTAGCAACATATCTATCCATCTACCTAAATATATACCATAATCTATTGACCTATCTACCTACCTAGCAACATATCTATCCATCTACCTAAATATATACCATAATCTATTGACCTATCTACCTACCTAGCAACATATCTATCCATCTACCTAAATATATACCATAATCTATTGACCTATCTACCTACCTAGCAACATATCTATCCATCTACCTAAATATATACCATAATCTATTGACCTATCTACCTACCAGCAAACATATCTATCCATCTACCTAAATATATACCATAATCTATTGACCTACCTATCTTTACCTAAATTTATAGCATAATCTAATGACCTATCTACCTACCTGCAAACATTTCTGTCCATATATCTAAATATATACCATCATCTATTGACCTACCTACCTACCTTTCAACATATCTATCCATCTACCTAGCTAAAGACATATATTGACATATAATACCTATATTATCTATCCGAAATCTAGCTACCTACTAAAAATGTCTACCTTTTGACACATCATAAGCATTTACCAACCTACCTACCTATGTATCAACATATACATAAATATCTACTTACCTACAAATTTTTCATAAGAAATAAATAGATTTATTATTCATAACAATAAAGATAATAAAATACTCGGACACACTATGGTTGTCAAATTTAGTGGAACAGGTCCATAGTTCACGTGTTTGAAACATCTACCTTATTTTATTTCACCTATCTATCCACCTACGTGATCTACAGTGAAGTTCAGTAGGCAATGGCCACGAGAATGCAAGAATGCTAAAATGCTATGAATATATTTCTAATTAATAGATTTTTCTAAATTTTTTGCCTTTCTGGAGTGATTTTCAAAAGGTAAAGTGTCCTATGAAAGTTATAACCAAGAGGATATAGGACGTTGCTGAGCAGGTACTTCCTGGACTTCTCATGCCGGAGTATCGCTGTGGTCAGACGAAGGTAATGAATCTGGAGGACAGAGAAAGAAAACAGGTTTCAATAAAGCTTCCATCTGTTAAGCACTGGCTGCCACAGTAATAATTTGGATCAACATGTTGCCAGTTCCCTCTCACAACCATGGACATCAAACACATTACAGCAAGCTCAACACAAAGTGCCTCAGTCCTTTTCATTTTAACAAGACATTTATTTCAAGTGGGATGGGCACACAGCCCATGTCCCTGCTGATAATTGCCATTAACATCAATGGGCCAGGAGGACGTCAACACCTCTCTGCCTCTGATTAGACAAATGCAGACGCTAAGCATGAACATGCTTTGAAGTACGAGTTCCCAGCATGCAATAATGTTTTCCTTTTTCCTTCCTGTCAGCGGTTCTATCATTCTCAGCACCAATAAACTTCAATATAACATTACAACAGCTTGGAAAATGGATTTGCATGAGAGGGCAATCATTGGGTTTCTCACCTGAAAGCCCAGATCAGGGATGATGGGAGAGAAACGATACGCTCTCAGCAGAGACATCATCAGCTGCTTCAGACACTCGCTCACCTCGTGGTCCTTCAGGAGAAGAAGAAAAAATTACAGTCTCAGAAGAATAAAACACATTATATCCAATCTCATTCCAGACGTTTTGAGTCTGTACCTCCATGAGAAGCCAGAAAAGGTCCAGCAGCTGTTGTATAAGAGGATGCTCTTCGACAGATCCTCCACCCTCCAAAATACTCAACAGGAAGTTCATCAGCACATCCTCCACTAAGTACACTTTGCACTAGCAGACACACACATTAGCATTAAATAAAGTGGTTTATGGAACAACGACAATGGTTTTACAGAAACTCTGAGTGATTTACCATGAGAGGTGCGAAGTGGTTGAATATATGTGCAAGGGTGACCAGGATGGTGGGATCTCCTTGAATCTGCCAGACTCCGCTGTCTCTCTCCACAAGCTTCTCCTCCTGACGAAAAACAAAATCAAATGTCTTCTCATTCAGTTTTGTTTTAAAGATTGATACATCACACTGCATTTTCTTCTATTCTGAAGCAACACACTGTACAGTAGGCACCTGTGTGTCGATGTAGGTGGACAGGACTGTCTTGAGGTATCCCAGAAGCCTGTTGGCTTTGATGAGGTCAGTAGTTGGTGGGCTTTGAAGAGGAAGGTAACCTTCCACAGGGTACGTGAGGAACAGATGAGTTAAGGGTTTTAAGCGTTTGTGGTTGGTCTACGGTTTCACATGTTTTGTTTTTATGGTTTTTAAGGTATACCTGAAAACATTATATGTGACCCTGGACCACAAAACCAGTCATAAGGGTCAATTTTGTCAATTTGAAAATCTGGAATCTGAGGGTGCAAAAAAATTAAAATATTGAGAAAATCACCTTTAAAGTTGTTTCTCGTCCGGTGTGCGACCGCCTGAAACGCAGTTTTTTCACCTCCGTGCCCAAACGTCTTTGTTGGGGCTTCCGAAAGCGGATGATGTCAGGAAACAGTGGTTGCAATTTATTTTTTAACTCAACACATTTTGTTTTTTGGAAGGCGGACCCTCATCAAAGCCGGAACTAATCGAGCTGTTTGTGCCAGGCTGGGGAGAGAGGTGTTGTAATAATGTAAATTATGTGAAAAATAATGTGTTTTTCGAACCACCAAGCATGAGAGCATGTTCTAGTACACCCCCAAAACAAAATCAAGTTTTGTTTTGTAAACTTTGTAAAAGAGCATAATAGGACCCCTTTAAGTTTTGATATATTTACGGAAGGAAATTTACAAAATATCTTCATGGAACATGATCTTTACTTAATATCCTAATGATTTTTGGCATAAAAGAAAAATCTATTTTGACCCATACAATGTATTTTTGGCTATTGCTACAAATATACCCCAGCGACTTAAGACTGGTTTTGTGGTGCAGGGACACATATAATTACATTATAATTACATTATATAATTAATAAATATGTCGGTCACACTTTATTTTAAGATCCGATTCTCGCAATTAACAAACCATTAACTATGACTTTTGCCTCAATAAACTCCAAATTCGCTGCTTATTAATAGTTATTAATAAGGTAGTTGTGAAGTTTAGGTATTGGTTTTGGATTAGGGATGTAGAATATGGTCATGCAGAATATGCGTTTTATAAGTACTAATAAACAGCCAATATGTTAATAATAGGCATGCTAATAAGCAACGAGTTACTAGTGAGAATTAGTCCCTATACTAAAGTGTAATCATATATATCAATTAAATTGGTTACAATTTAAACATGCATCTACTTTTATTCTGACATCTTATAAATATATTATCAAGTTTCAAGTTGTACTTGAAATAAATATTACATTATTATTCAATAAACATATTATATGAAATGTAAATATATATCATGTATTTCTAAAAAATAAACTGGATTACATTATTAAAACAGATCACTTAAAATGTTATAATATAAATATGTCTTATAAATGATTTTTCAAGTTTTCCTTGAAATAAATATAATAATTTTATTCAATAACAATATTATTAAATAAACATATATAATGTGTTTAAAATAAATATATTACTTTATATTATTAATAAATAAAACAATTAAATATTACAAATTTAACATCTAGAATTTATACATCTACTTTTATTCTGAAGTCCTAAAAATATCAATTTATTGTTCAAGCCGTATTTGGAATAATAGGTAATTACATTATTTTATTATACATATATGCTGTATTTAGAAGTCTTATGAATCAATCTATGTTGCAATATATTAGTTATTATAATATACTATGTAACATATTACATTATACATGTATAAATATTACATAAATAAATGTAAGTACTTGAAAATCTTAAATAATATTAAGCATGTGTATATGTATAATAATATATTTGTAAATAATAAATAATATTTATAAATAATATAAATAAAACTATTAATGTATAATATATGTGACCCTGGAGCACAAAACCAGTCATCTAAATAGTTGTATCTCGACCAAATATTGTCCTATGCTTTCAAAAAATTGACCCTTATGACTGGTTTTGTGGTCCATGGTCACATATGTACTTCTAATTACTACCTAATTAGATTAATTCATTTATGATTGTATGTTTTAGAATAAATTAAAATGTATGTCATACACATTACATAAAATCTGTATGTATATGCATAAAAATGAGAAGGATATCTGAGAGGACGGCTGCCGAAATTGAAGGCTACAGACTCTTTGAAGGAAAGGCTGATTGCAGGGAAATATGCGACGCCTGGCCCCGTCTTAATATTGCTGAACGCAACACCGAGAGACTGTCCGTTACTGAAAAAGAAAAAAAATACTGCTATTAACAACAATTCACAGATATGTCCGTTAATGTCTACTAATTAGAATTTCACATCAGTTTCTCATGCTTTCATACCAAACTATAACGTACATCCAATAATAAAACTATACTTACAGACAAAACGTAATGGTTCCCTCATCCAAATCTATCAAACAGCTGACGATATCACCAGCAGCCCAGGACTAAAGCAAAAGAAATAAAAAGAATCAATAATGAGAGGCTTCGTGTTAAAATGTACTACTATGTATGGCCTTGAGTGGCTCAATGCTTTCATAAAAATGTGGCTCATCCAATCAGAATTGTGTTTGATAAGACTGTTACGTAAGTCTTTAAACAAGCAAACTACGACCAAACTGTCAAGGTCAAAAAAAATTCACAAGCACAAATTGAGCTTGACCGCTGAACTGAATGTGTGAAACGCTATGTTTTCACCTTGCCGTAGTTGGTGGTTGTCACGTTCCATTTGCGAACTCTGTTTCCGTCGTAAGCGTACGAGTCCGGCGTGTCCCCGACCCCTTCCTGAACACAAACACAGATCCACAGCGTACCGTATCTGGCAGTAATCGACTTGAACAAACCAATCTCACAGATAAATTAAAGGGATAGTTCACCCAAAAATGAAAATTGTGTCATTAATTACTCACCCTCATGTCGTTCTAAACCCGTAGGACCTCCGTTCATCTTCGGAACACAAATTAAGATATTTTTGATGCATTCTGAGAGCTCTCTGACCCTCCCATAGACAGCAATGTAATTACCATGATCAAGGTCCATAAACGTAGCAAGGAGATCGGTAAAATAATCCATGTGACATCAGGGGTTCAACCGTAATTTTACGAAGCTACGAGAATACTTTTTGTATTCTCTTTGTATTATTTTTGTATTATTGTATTATAAACGTAAATTGCGTATGCTGTTTTGTGTCATCTGCGTCACGCGGATACGTTGTTTTCGTTCAAATCAAAACGTAAACGACGTTAAAAAAGCGTATCTGTGTGGTGCGGCTGACACAAAACAGCATACGCAATTTACGTTCAGTGGATAACGTTACTCTCCAAAATGGCGCTAGGGTGACGAGGAGGAGACGAATTGTTGAATAAAGTCGGGTTTTTTTGTGTTTTTTTTCGCACAAAAAGTATTCTCGTAGCTTCGTAAAATTACGGTTGAACCCCTGATGTCACATGGACTATTTTACCGATCTCCTTGCTACGTTTCTGGACGTTGATCGTGTAAGGATCCTTGCTGTCTATGGGAGGGTCAGAGAGCTCTCAGAATGCATCAAAAATATCTTAATTTGTGTTCCGAAGATGAACGAAGGTTTTACAGGTTTGGAACGACATGAGGGTGAGTAATTAATGACAGAATTTTCATTTTTGGGTGAACTATCCCTTTAAGCCAAATCTGAGATTTAAAAAGGATTTCAAGAGCAGAGCGAACAGTCGTCATCTAATCTAGATTAATCTGCGTGATTTCTGCGGCTTTGAAAGCTTCCCATGAGAGCTAGCTAACTATTAGAGTGAATATGCAATTTGTACGGCTCCACACTCCAGAATTGACCTCTAAAATGGTGAAGTTACTGGCTTGTACCTCTTGGTTGAATCTGCAGTTCAATGTGCACCATCCGATTTGCATTAGGCCTTGAGATGAGATGAGAACTTCATAGACCCATTTCCCTAAAACCAATAAAAAACTATTAAAAACAGTACCGCAGTGGTACTATGGTATAGTAATTTAGGTTGCATTTACTTCAAGGTACTTCACCGTACAAGAGCACCATAGAATTAGCATTTCACTATATGGTACAGTTTAGTCATTGAAACGTTACCTTTGTAAACACAAGTGGTGGCTCTGATGGAGCTGAAGTTACTGTGGCCGATGACCTTCAATCCAAAAAGAGAGGAAGAACAAACCTGAACACATTTAACAGTAAACAACACACCGGTCTAAAAAGTGAAAATTGGCCCCATTTGAATTCATAATACACTTTCCTGGTGTTATTGACTAAATTGACTTCTCACCATCAAGTCAATTTAATAGTGAACTGACCTGAATTTGAATTATTTTAAAGCAGACCTAGGGTGTATTCACACCAGGAAAGTGCACTAGTTCACTTGCTTTGGTCCGGACCAAATACAATGTTGATTTTTTTTTTGTTTGTTTGGTGCGGTTTGCTTTCACACTGCCGTTTTTGCAAGTGAACCAGAAACTGTAAACAAAACCACACGTGTGCTTAAGGTCATCCATTCATTGGTTTATCCATTCAACCGTACCAGAGTTCGTTTGGAAGCGGACCGAGACCACCTCTTCAGCTGGGTCTCGGTACAGTTGTTTGGTGCGCACCCGAGTGCGATTGTTGTATTCACACCTGCCCAAAAGATCCGCACCAAGGGGGGAAACGAACTTGAGTTCGATTCAATCGAACCAAACAAGACAGGTGTGAACACACCCCTAAATTCTAAGTTTACTTGGCAGTTGTAAAATAAAATAAAATAAAATAATAAAATAAATTGTATTTTATTTTATTTTTATTTTATTTTATTTTATTTTAAATAAATTATTGTATTTTAAATATTTAAATAATTTATTTTACATTTTATTTAAAATAAAATGAAAATTTTATTTACAAAATTTTATTAAATGTTTTTATTCATTTATATTTTATTTTACTTTAAATAATTTAGAAGTGCCCACGATAACAATATCGTGCATATTCATTACCGTGATATATCGCATTACCGAATACCGGCACAAGTTTACTTTGAATAAAATAAAATAAAAAATTTTTTAAATAAATGATTGTATTTTAAATATTTTAAATAATTTATTTTACATTTTATTTAAAATAAAATGAAATTTTATTTACTACATTTTATTAAACGTATTTATTCATAAATTTTTTTTATTTTATATTTTATTTTATTTTACTTTAAATAAAATAAAATAAAATAAATTTATATAATGTCAATTTCTCACCCCCAAAAGGTCATCGTCAACAAATAACAGCCCTTCAAACCCACTGCTGTGATCCAGGACAACAGTTGAAGGTCCAAGACAGCCTTCTATCTGATCTGTACAGAAAAAGAAATACAATTTCACATAAATTAATATATCAATATATAATAATGGATATATTAGATATAAAGTATTATATATGAAATAAAATAATGAAAACATGGCTGAAAACATTACTACAATCAATCAATCAATAAATAAAACATAAATTAGCACATAAATCAACGAATAAATAAACATATTTGGGGGTACAGTAGATGTCAATAATAACTGATGAATTATGAATAAATATTACATAAAATAAGTGTGTTTTTTTCAGCAAGCACATTCAATTTCCCAGTAATTTGTGAGACGCTCAGCAGTGTATGTGTAAGTGTTTGTCTGACCTCTGCTGTCCTCAGTCACATTATCTTCAGCCAGCAGCTTCTCCAGATGAGCTCCGAGATCCTGGAACGTCAGGGTTTTCCTACAGGGACGAGACACGACACCAGAACTTGTCAGCTCACACACTGAAGAGACTAGACAACGACAACATTACTACAATCAATCAATCAATAAATAAAACATAAATTAGCACATAAATCAACGAATAAATAAACATATTTGGGGGTACAGTAGATGTCAATAATAACTGATGAATTATGAATAAATATTACATAAAATAAGTGTGTTTTTTTCAGCAAATACATTCAATTTCCCAGTAATTTGTGAGACGCTCAGCAGTGTATGTGTAAGTGTTTGTCTGACCTCTGCTGTCCTCAGTCACATTATCTTCAGCCAGCAGCTTCTCCAGATGAGCTCCGAGATCCTGGAACGTCAGGGTTTTCCTACAGGGACGAGACACGACACCAGAACTTGTCAGCTCACACACTGAAGAGACTAGACAACGACCGACTGATCTAACTAGACATATCAGAGAAAATAGAATGCATTTTATTTATAAAGTAAGTGATACATTGAAAAGATGGGATTCAGAATAGAATTACAATTTGGAAATAAACTGAAATCATATGCATTGAATTTATATTTACATTAAAAAAAGAAAAGCATTAAAATGAAGCTCTCAAATTTCTTCCGAGCTAAATATCTGTGAATAAATGAAGTTTAGTGTCACATGGCAGCAATGCGGTTTTATGCAGTGCTGACAGACGCCCATCATGACGCCTGACATGAAATCCAGCATTAGAGATGTAAACACATGAGCCGCTTCACTGCTCTGTGAGTGTCAGCTTTCTCTCATGTCCCATCATGCTCTATGTATAGATCAGCTCCAGTAACCAGACACTGGCTGGGATCAAGAGCGGGACGAGGCCAGCAACTTCCACTCAAACAACTAATGCAGCAAACTTCATTTCTTCATGATTTGTTACGATCCGCCGAATAAGTTATACTTCAACAGAGTAAAAAATACTGATGACTCATCCTGCTTTGCACAGATTTCTGTCCAATCAGATGCTCTCTAGAACAAGAAGCCCCTCCTCCCATAACCAGCTGCACTTGATTAACATGAAGCAAATCATGCTTCAAAAACATGCAGGTGAAAAAATAATTCACAATTCAAAACTAAATATGAGATCAAATAATATGTAAGGGCCGAAGACAAAAATGGGTTTTCAAGAATTAAAACAATAAAAGTACAGCCATTCAGTGTAACAATAGCTACTTTTCTCAATATACCAAAAATCGTGTCAGGCATATTTAAAACGAGTACACAGAGGTGACATTAATAGACTCTATTTAAGGATCACAGCCCTAAAATACTCACAAATTGTTTAAAATATGCATGAATGAGTCAAATGGTTGATTTATAGGCAGGCAAAACAGTAATCCACTCATTCACTCACACACCATACTTTTCATTCACTTAAAATGACTTGAAATGTGAGACAGCTTAAAATTAAATTTGCAAGCAATATTTACAGAGGATTTGATGACTAATGATCTAAAAATGTGATTAATAATATTGTGAAATTGTTAAATAAAACAAAATATACAAAAAAAATAACCAAAATATACAATTACAACATATTATTAATTACACATATGATCAAAAGCAATTTGATGTGGAAAACAGTTTTGTGAACTTAATATGTGTGACCCTGGAGCACAAAACCAGTCTTAAGTCGTGGGGTATATTTGTAGCAATAGCCAACAATACATTGTATGGGTCAAAATTATAGATTTTTCTTTTATGCCAAAAATCATTAGGATTTTAAGTAAAGATCGTGTTCCATGAAGATATTTAGTAAATTTCCTACTGTAAATATATCAAAACTTAATGTTTGATTAGTAATATGCATTGCTAAGAACTTCATTTGAACAACTTTAAAGATGATTTTCTCAATATTTAGATTTTTTAGCAAGGTTTCCCCGCAGTTTTTTTATTTTATTTAATTTTTTTATTGAAGATATAGGTTTTCCCTCAGTTATCACAACATGGATTCAGATGTGCTTGTACTGTGTCTTTTGCGACGGCGTCGAAAGCGTCTGGAAAAGAGAAGGCTGGGGGTTCACCCTATTCTACGGACTCGGAAGGAGCGGAAGGCTGTGGGTTCACCCTATTCTACGGACTCGGAATGAGCGGGGAGAGTTCCATTCTTTAATTCAGGAGCTTCGGATGGATGAGGATCGCCACAAGGAGTACTTTGAGCTCGGTCATATTTTATTACCATTTTTTTTAAACTATAGTGAATAAACTGTATTAATGAATGAAATGTTCAAGGTGTCTGAATAAATTTTGGTTTGACTGTACATACATACATACATACATACATATATATATATATATTACATTTTTAAGTGCTGTCGGTTTTTCCCTTTAAATAGGTCATTTTATAAGTTCCTGTGGTGAGGTCCAAAATTAATTTTAAAATGAGTCTTAAAATATAAATATATAAAATAACGAACAACATTAAGTAATTTAATAATAATACACTTGTGTATGGTAATTATATTGTTCTCTCTCTCTCTCTCTCATATATATATATACTAAGCAATAAAAAATTATAAAATGTGTCCGCATTCAAATGTACCGTCTGATTTTTATAATCTTTTAAAGAAGTATTATATAAAATAGGATGCTGCGCTACGGCTAAAATTAGCGCTTCCTCCATTTTTGAATTTCTGTACAGAGAGGTCACGCAGTGACGTATCGATCTTCTACTGGTCACACGTCTTCACGTGATGCGAATTCGCAGGTCAGAGTTCACCAAACTTGAACTTTGGAACGCAGCGAAATGCGAATTTTTTCGTTTGAGCTTACGTTTCCGGTTTGACGCATTCGCATGCGTATGAATGGAAGTCAATGGAACTAAAAGTGCAGTGTGACCGCCCCTTTATGACTGGTTTTGTGGTCCAGGGTCACATTTTTGGTGAAAACGGTGATACACTACCATTCAAATGTTTGGGGTGAGTAAGATTTAAAAAACATAAATAAATAAAATAATGCGATATTCAGCAAGGATGTATTAAATTGTTCAAAAGTGACAGTAAAGACTTTTATAATGTTACAAAATATTTCAGTTTCAAATAAACACTGTTCTTTTACCATGGGGAAAATAAAAATCATCACGGTTATCATGAAAATAGTGATAATTTCAACATTGACAATAATAAGAACCATTAATAATAACTGGGCATCAATAATATTTGAGAATAACTGAGCAGCAAATCAGCATATTAGAATGATTTCTGAAGGATCCTGTGACACTGAAGACTGGAGTAATGATGCTGAAAATTCAGCTTTGATCACAGCAATAAATCACGTTTTACAATATATTTACATGGAAAACACTTTGCTGCTTCACAGCATTGCTGTTTTTACTGTATTGTTGATCAAATAAATGCAGCCTCGGTGAGCAGAAGAGACTTCTTTCAAAAACTTTAAGAAATATTAATTATTTCAAACTCTTGACCGGTAGTGTGTGCATGTGCTTATGTGTATGTTTGTGCATACAAGGCAAAAGCCCCCACAAAGGAATATTCTACATACAAAAGGTCAACCATAGACCCAAAAACAAGGAGGAATCTTGGGTAATCCACTAACCTGTACGCCGCTGATGCCGGTCCCGGCTTACTGGAGGCAGGAAACACATGGTGCAGATAGTCGCTCAGTAACTTCTCATTGACAATTCCTAAAAAAAGATACATCAAAATATGTACATTTGATGATTAATCAATTTACAGTGGGTTTACATCAATAAAGCCTCTTTATAAGGACATACCTGTGACTTTGGGTTTGTCTGTGTCTGATGCCAGGCGATAGTTGCGTCGGGACAGGACAGTGCCACCCTTTGAGCTCATACTGCTACTAGACAGATCAATTATAAAACCATAATTAATTATAGTATACATTTATAGCATTGCATATAGTATCCTCTAGTCTAACAACAATAGGATAAAGAATAGGATAAAGAATACAGATAGGCTAAATAAAATGCTGACTAGTAGACTAGAAATTATTTTGACAACAGTCTCAAACTAGAATGAAACCTGCAAATAACTTGTAGTTTCAATGTTTGCATGCTGTTATCTGAGCAAACATATACAAACATACACATAATATAAACATACTCTCTCTTTAGCCACTATCCCGCTAACATAACGGCTTAACGGCCGTGTTTAATGTGTTTACAACCAATTAAAATATCATTTAATGACTGTCGGGGGTCTAAAATGCCCAGCATATGTGCAAGAAAAACAATATTTAATGTGTTTCAGCCTCCGTGTTGAACACATATGACAGCCAGAGCTGCTATGATAACATGTCAAATATAAAATACACAGATAAAGCGACGTTAACGCTTGTTGTTTGGTTAATTTCTCCTGCAGTACTCACTGATTTGGTGTGCTGTGTTTGTTTGTGATCAGCAGATGTTGTTGTTGGGCTCTCCTCTTTAAATGTGTCTACAGTCACTGCCTTTAAGCATAGAAATACAATAAGCGGTGGGATGACAGTGAATGAACGGGAGTGATAAAATGGGCGGGGCTTGATGGCCCGGAGAGTGTCTCTCATTGGTCAGTTACGATGGATTTATATTTAAAAAATTCTAATTTTATATTGTCTCTGTTTGATTTTATCTCAGCATTATTTGTATTCTATGTTGTCGTTATTTATGTGTTAATTATTGTCCGGGATGCAGTTTGAAGTATTTCAGAGACGGCGTGTTTGTTGTTACTTTTCTCATCGCTTTTTGGGATGGACCAATCAGAGACGTTTTGCTTACAACATTATATAGCGTTTCGCAAGCGGATGTGTATTTTATACATCAAGTGTCACTATTTGGAATCAACCGATTAAAATGCTTATACAATTCAATATACAAAATTCTCCTTTAACATAAAAGGATTTGAATACGATTCAATAAGGGACGCGGCATTATGAGCCACGAAGAGCCCTCTGCAGGAATTTAGTTGTGCGACTTGTAATAAACAGTTGTTAGCATGCAAAAGTGCCCCCCAATTCTTTTAACACATACGATTCACGGCTATGGGGCGAGTTTTAGGACAAAATATGTTTAGACATGAACTAATGCGAACCATAAAATCCATAAAAGACCACTGGGTGGCAAATGTTTTCGGATAACTGTTTCCTATAAGTTATTCCTATAGGGGACGTTAGAGGGCTAAAAAGCCGGATTTATATTACGTTAAATCTATTAATATGAATCTATTCACTCTGCATCTGATTAAATTTGGAAATCATCCCAGTAATCACAAACGGCAGTGATTGGGCCACCGTGAACAGCGCTGAGAAAAGTAACAGTTGTCACATGACTCTTCAGCAGCATTCTGGACATTAATAATTTACGCCTCAGTCCTTAAATAACCGTTACATTTAAAATACACAATACAATGTTATAGAAAATTATGCCATTTGGGCGTATCATATATAAAACGTTAGCTACAATACCTAGAATGATAAGAACTGACAGCTTCAGATATTAAATTTAGTGTCATAACTGTAATTAACGTGCATTAATTGCAAAATTCCGCCGGCAAAAAGGTCCATATTGTCAATAGTGTAGCTGATTGCTTAAAATAGCTTAAACAAAATTCAGTTTTAACCAAGCAGCTTGCAAAATCACGTGGGTGGATTCCCATTAAACTGACTGGATTTTGCCCGAAAAGTCGCTGAATAACAGTAGATGACTATTTGGCAAAAACTAAGGTTTAACAGTATCTTTTTTACATCAAAAAATTATGTAAGTTATAGTTAAGGTATAGATTTAGCCTGTAGTAATTATAATTCGTTGTATATAAGTGCAAGATCTGTAGAAGTGTGTGGTAAATATGAATGCATAGCAACACTCATTCGACAATATTGTGTTTAGCACAATGATATGCCATCAGTTAGAAAAAATACTTGACACATTTATCAATGTAACGATTGGCAAAATTCTTTTATAAATTTATCAACATAAATCTGAATTTTACCAAACTAAGAATACAAAACTGGGTGAAAACAGTAACTAGTTGTGTCTAGTTGAGCTGCTGGTTTCAGAAAGCACCCATTGAACCAAACAAATCCTCTCAGTTAATGCCAGCCGTGAGGAAGTCTCTTCTCCTGGTCACTTCTTCCTCTCCGTATTTCGATTGAAGCTGCTCGAGTTCATACGGATCAGCCAACAGGAGGATCTCATCGTCCAGATGGGTCCAGACAGGCCCGTGAATCTCATGGTCGTAGCCGTCTTGCAGATACGCCTGGGCTCTTGCTAAGTCACCACTGGCTTTCCACAGTGCCTTGGTCACCTCGACCAGATCTTTCTTGGTCTTTGTCATCAAGTTCTCGACATGTTCTACCAAGTGTTTGGAGGGAGTTTCCTCTGGAGTTCCTCTCGTTTGGCTGTCGTGTTTGTCCTGTGACTCGGAGTCGAGGATGAAGACGTGGGATGAAGATGCAGGGACAGCTGTGGATCTAGGACCTGGACGCTCTTCCTCGGGTGACGGTGAGGGACAAAGAGCTTCTGGTGCTTCCTGTAGGCCGTTTTGGTTAAGCTCAGATTGAGTTTCTGGTTCCCTAGTTAATGTTGCAGGCGATGCCGAACTTTCTTGTGCATCTGACGGCTTGGCGATTGGTGCTTCAAATGGATCTTCGCCTTCTTCACTTTCATCCATCTGTGGAAACACATTCAAGTCAGTGAAGTGCGTCTTGGAGACTTTTTAACTAAGGCAGCGGTTTTCTAAGCTGAAATGCTGGAAAACTATCCATTTACAAATGTATTTTGGAGGATTAAGTTATAAAACGAATAAAGAGTTAAGTTAAAAACAAATGGGTCAATGAAATTTAAGAAAGTCCATAAAATGGAACACTAACATCAAGCTAAAAACATGTGAAGATCTTAAAAATGTATTCAAGTTTCATATGATTTTGAAAAACTTTCATACTATTTTCAAGAAACGTTTTAGTCCTCTAAACTCTAAAGATGTCATGTGGTGCAACTGTCAGATTAAAAATTATATACATATTTCTATTTTCTAAATACACAGCTTGTTCATACAACATCGTGTTCCTGTGGCTCAGTGGTAGAGCATTGCGTTAGCAGCGCAAAAGGTCGTGGGTTCAATTCCCAGGGAACACACATACTGGTAAAAAAAATGTATAGCCTGAATCACTTTCACTAAGTCACTTTGGATAAAAGCGTCTGCTAAATGCATAAATTATTATTATTATTAATTATAAATTACATCTTAATAATTGCTTTCAAAAAATAATACTTTTTTCATGAACCACAATATTTATGTGTTACATATATAGCATTTTAAAAAGTATATATAAATATAAACACACACAAATTAAATTCCTAAATTACTGTAAAATTTGGACTGCATCGATTTTTACTCATCGATTTTTACAAAGCTCATCGGTCTGAAAAGCAAGGTGTGCTGTGATTGGCCAGCTATCCAGTGCGTTGTGATTGGCCGAACACCTCAAGCGTGTGACAGAAATGTTACGCCCCTACCATACTGTGATGCCGTCAGGCCGGAGCGATGAGGCAAAAACATTAAAACTCATTATAAACGAGGCATTTGTTGCATCCAGTGGAGACATAATTACAGATTATAATGACTGTTTACCATGCGGTTTTCTAAGCTGAAATGCTGGAAAACTATCCATTTACAAATGTATTTTGGAGGATTAAGTTATAAAACGAATAAAGAGTTAAGTTAAAAACAAATGGGTCAATGAAATTTAAGAAAGTCCATAAAATGGAACACTAACATCAAGCTAAAAACATGTGAAGATCTTAAAAATGTATTCAAGTTTCATATGATTTTGAAAAACTTTCATACTATTTTCAAGAAACGTTTTAGTCCTCTAAACTCTAAAGATGTCATGTGGTGCAACTGTCAGATTAAAAATTATATACATATTTCTATTTTCTAAATACACAGCTTGTTCATACAACATCGTGTTCCTGTGGCTCAGTGGTAGAGCATTGCGTTAGCAGCGCAAAAGGTCGTGGGTTCAATTCCCAGGGAACACACATACTGGTAAAAAAAATGTATAGCCTGAATCACTTTCACTAAGTCACTTTGGATAAAAGCGTCTGCTAAATGCATAAATTATTATTATTATTAATTATAAATTACATCTTAATAATTGCTTTCAAAAAATAATACTTTTTTCATGAACCACAATATTTATGTGTTACATATATAGCATTTTAAAAAGTATATATAAATATAAACACACACAAATTAAATTCCTAAATTACTGTAAAATTTGGACTGCATCGATTTTTACTCATCGATTTTTACAAAGCTCATCGGTCTGAAAAGCAAGGTGTGCTGTGATTGGCCAGCTATCCAGTGCGTTGTGATTGGCCGAACACCTCAAGCGTGTGACAGAAATGTTACGCCCCTACCATACTGTGATGCCGTCAGGCCGGAGCGATGAGGCAAAAACATTAAAACTCATTATAAACGAGGCATTTGTTGCATCCAATGGGGACATAATTACGGATTATAATGACTTATACTGTCTTTTTACAC